ATTATTCCTTTAGGGTGTTTACACTAATCCAGCAGCTGCATTCTCATAAGAAGCATCCACTTTGGTATCCCTTTTCATTTTGCTTTACAGGTTTTTATGTATTAGTCTAAACAGGGCCTAAAATGTACATGTACATGTATATGTACATGTAGAATACTCATATCATACCTGCTCCTAGTATTGGCTCATTGTTAGTGTGTTCAGGATCAGCTGCATGCTGCCTTCTTCTCTTCTTCTATCATCTCTTTTTCCTCTTGAGAAACAAGCCGACTCTAAAAGAGTAGAAATAAATAAATAAATTAATTAATAATAAATCCTTTTCTTTTTCTCTTCTACCTTTGGTGGAGGTTTCAAGTTAATTCTGGTAATGCTTTCTATGACTCTTTGTCCTTTTGAAATATGGAATCTTGCTGACTCAGGAACAAACTACAATTCATAATGTACAGTAAAGAAAATAATGAAGAGAGAGAGAGAGAGAGAGAGAGAGAGGAGTCAGTTCTCCACTTATTATGAAAAACACTAATACAATGGCCATTGATAAAGCTAGCACAGAGTGCTATGTAGATCCTCCAGTTAATGTTCTCAAAATCCTCATTGGAGACATCGATAGGATCAGGAACTATATAAATCATATGATGATCACATGACAGTCACATGTACAGTGTATCTTACCATTAGGAATGACCCCCAGTGCTAGCAATGCTACCAAACAGCTCCCTATAGCCCGCCAGACCTCTATCAGTACCAGACAGGCCCCGCGGAGTTTCTTAGGCAAGAACTCAGTGTAGTACGTAATTCTACATGTACATGTATAAATACATATTGAATGTGAAACATAGTGTACATGCATCTACTGTAGTAATGTATAAGTACTATTGTATACTATAATTTATTTCTACTGTATACTATATATGTACACATATAATACTGATGTGTATACTAAATGTATGTACATTGATGTAAATGTATATTTAATTATTTTTCCTTTCCCTTTTTTTCAAAATCTCCCCTTTTCTCTCTCTCTTCCTTACGTCTGAGCTGTTCCTCCAATACCAAAGCCTGCCAGACAACGAAACAACAACAAACTACCATAATTAGGAGCAGCTGCACTTGCAAGACCAAACAATAATATGAGAACTGTTACTATTAATAGCACCTACAGTACGTAAGAATAATATTACTATAAATAGAACCTAAGTATGTGTGTATATGTCATAATTGTTATTTTGGGATGTCATGTGAGTATCATGTGACTTACCCTTTTACGTCCAATGATGTCAGCAATAACTCCCCAGAATAGACCACCAATCAAGAAACCAACAAACACAACCTAAAGAGAGAGAGAGAGGGAGAGAAGGAGAGAGATGTGATGGAAGGGAGAAGAAAATAATTAACAGACTATTATACACATGTAAGTAAT